ATTGGAATGCAGTCACAGAAAGAGGAACGAGACAGCGCGTTGACTACATACGCTCCTTTAAGGCGTTTGTAATATTCGCTACTTACTATATGATTTGAAAATCACTTAAAAGGAGCAATCTTGCTCAAAGGAGCAAGAGGTAAGCAGTACGACTCTCTGTAACAAAACTGTCATGACTTGATCAGGATGTCTGTAAACCGTATGCGGCACATAGTTGTAGAGTCAATAACCATTTTTACAACGCAACTGATCATTTTAGAAGCTAAGTAAATTGCAAAGCAAACGTATTTTCTTAAAGAAGCGGAATTTTATACAATACTATAAGTTGAAGTCAGCTGGAGAGAGAGTGAGAAAGAATGCAGATACATCTTCACCATCCTCTAGGTACTTCAAACTCACATCATGGTAAGGAGCATTGCGAAAATTGGCTTCTTCATCTTGTGACAATAAAAATCTATGCATTCTTGTGAGCAACCATGGACTTCGTCGTTCAATCACTTCATAAATTTCCCTCATACCCAAAAGGCTGCCGACAATATCCAACGCCTCCTCCTATCAAAAAATCATAACTATTTCGAATTAAAAATTGGACGATTACGATTTAATTTACCAGAGGTGGATAGCGATCCTCCGTGCTGTGCGCACTTTCTGGAGACGACGGCTCGTCAAGTCTATTAGGAGGATATGGGATCTCGTTTCCTCTTTCCCATCCTTCAGTGCTATCATATCGTAGAATGTTTTGGTAATTTCTTAAAATCTCACCGATTCCTTCTCGAGAAACTCGATGGGGGCGATTCTTGCGTCGCTCGCTATCACTAGAACTACATTCAAAAGACAACATCTGAAAACAAATTTTCGGATGGTTGAAGAACAGCTCAACAACATACTGGAAACTCCTCGTCAACTGCTAGCTCACGCAGGAACTTCACTAATGTCCATGGTCTTTGATAAGGGCTCTCATGGTTGAACTGCAAAAGGCACACCATCCTAAAGCCAGTTGAATTATAAATTCATAACGGTAAATATGTTCGAGCTATAACATTGCAGGCATTGTTTTCGGTGAATACCAAGAGACAATAAAGACAAAGTTTTAAGATCATCTCACCGCATTAAACGAAGCTTGTGGTAATCTTCTGAAGACATTACTATATTTCCAAGGAAGCGATCTTCGTAGATTACTTTACTGTCGTCAAGATTTCGAACACATTTAGCACAACAATCAAATTCAACCTTAAATCTAAACTTTGCTTACAAATCTCAATTTTTAAGGTCCGGATTTTGCCAATTCTTGTTCCTTACAAAAAAAGAATAGTTTGTCAAAGAGGCAACTTAAAAAGAGAAGCATGCTGGTAGATAGTTTCAGACGCAGATTCCAAATCTGCCTTCCATAACTGCAAAGAGTCTCTATGGGCGAAATTATGAAATCTATGCTGAAATTAGCCTGTATGGCTCGCTAATTATTGCTCTACAACATCTCCGAGGAACAACAAGAAAAGGTTTTTACAAAGAAATGTTTAGCAATATTCAACTAAGCACTTCAATCCATACTAGTAAGCCATTTATAGAAACACTCATAACTTCTTCCAGAGAAGCGCCTCGCAGATATGGAAGGCAGACTTCGAATCAGCTCTCAAAATTACATATGACAGTGTTTACCTTTACCTTATTTCAAATCGTCACGATCAAGTATCCTTCTCTTGTCAGAAAACTGTTGTGCAAAGCTTTCCTAACTCGAAATATAAATATATATACATATGGATTTTTGAGTGTTTTATAAAAATCAAAAAAGGAAATCTGACATTTTGATTCATGCTGTAAATCTCGACGTTAGTTATATTGGGATACAGGAGAATAATTCGAAAAACTAAAAATTATTCTAATACTCAAGTCGACTCAATCTGCGCATGGCCGGCTCAATTTTGTGGAAAGAGGTTTAAGACTTTATTACAATAAGCGACTTTTTTCAATACGAGCGAGAGATAAATGAAAGGAGAGAGTTCACAGCATAGCCTATTAAGGTATACCAACACATGGAAGAGTAAAAAAGAGCCAAACTTTATCAGAATAGTTTTCAAAGTGTGGCGCGAGAAATTCAAGAATTCGAAAATCATAGCAAAAGGATTACCATGAAAACCAGCACAGCTACTCAATCAACAGCTAGAAAGGAGAGTTTCAGCTGAACAGTTTATCGCCCACATTAGAAATGGTAAAACACTAGATAAATGATAAAAAAACTTTTTTACGATAATAGGAAAAAGAGGCTAGCAAAAAGATATCAGCCGTTATCGAAAAGATCTTCAAACTAAATTCATATTACTGCATGAAGTGAACCTGCATTGATCGCTGCAGTAATAGACGCTACCCCGTAAAAATGAATACCACTAATGCATCATAATGAATATACTGACCCATACCTTTATTTCGTTCATAAAGCAACTAGTATAAGCTAGAGGGGGTGACAGTGCAATGATTTTCTTGACTACGTAAATAGGCTCAACTCCTTTGAACAAATCAGGAAATAACCTGCAATAAAGCTCTCATCCAACATTTGTTTGACAAGATAAATATACATCTAAAAATAAGAAAATCTTGCCGGACCGATCCATAAAACCAATCTCCTGCTTTCAATTTTTTGCCTTCGAAAATTGGGTCTAACACCATGACTCGTCCAAAACAACAACACCATGCTTCCGATAACTTCTCTCTTTTTGTGAACAACAGCAAGCAATTGTCAGATTCCTAAATTGAAGAAAATTGGATTAATTTCTACCGCAGTAATCTGATTTGAAAAAAAAATTGTGAAGCAAATTGATCGCTGTTGATTCTTGAAGAGCAATCACAACAGCGTAACGAAGTTGCTGCAGCTGGTATTAAATCTGCTTTCTACGTGGAGATTTCGGCTTTGCGGTATACAATAAAAACGAAATACTGAACAAAGGATCAACAAGAA